TGTCTCCTCAGGGCAGAAGGTCACTACAAATCAATGAAAAGCTGTTCTAGTGAAACATTTCCAATCTGATGGATGTGCCCTTCTCTGCAATGACAACGTCTCCATTCATAAGACACGAGTGCTCACTGAAAACGATGTCAGTCTAATGCCATAACTCGATCTCAGACCAATTCTACTCCTCTGGGAAATACAAATCCCATCAGGGCCGTCACGCAGTTTATCGACAAGCTTTAATTTAGTCAATAGCGCACGTGCCATAAATCATTTCCTTGTACCTTTTGGTGCATATAAAACCCTCAGTTCTGCTTCCAGAATAACTGATTACATTTCTATTCAGCTCATAGAGCTGAGTCTGACAGCTGCTGGTTCTATGGAGCACTCACTAACACCAAATATATCCTGACGCTAAATCAAAATAATGGACCTTTACATTTGTTCTTGCAAATGTGTCTCTCAGCCTGATTCGCAGGCCTGAACATGAACATGAAACCTCCCTGATGGCACAGATCAGTGGTAACAAACAGTCCAGCATTATACCGTGAAGCTGGCTGCACATAAAAATGAAACCAGCCTTTGGCGCTTCGTCCCTTTGAGATTTGCCTTGAAGAAACATTCTGCTGTAGCTGCATGCCTCTTTTCAGCTCAGTGACTCTCTGGAGCGTCTGTTCTCTCCCCGTGACTCCGTCTCTCTGCTGCTGTGTGGATTCAAAAATCAAAACAAGAACGCAAATTACGCTCTTTGAAGATATGGCGGCTACACGGGCCTCCGTTTACACCCAGTAAAGTTTTCAGTCTCCCACCTCAGTGAAAACTTTTCAGACCACAGCTATGCTGGTTGGGCCAAAACAAAGATGGAGCAGGTCATCTACTATTCTGCCAAATATCCTTGTTCTAGAAAATAACCCCAAGTTTCTCTCTGATGCCTTCACTGGAGTATTAATGTGTGAATGTTAGAAGCATAGAAAAAAGTGGTTGTAAGAATAGATGAATGAGGCATGTTGTATAAATAGCTTTGAGTGCTCAGAGTAGAAAAGCGCTATAAGAACCATCCATTCACCTACTTAACCTGACACATGTGCCTAAGATGGCACAGGCCACAGTCTGCTGTTCTGAGACCATCATGGGAAATATAACTGACGCTTTTCTGGTAGCACCTGATGGCTCTACAGCTTCCTCTACAACTTTCCCACACGTTACCTGCAGGGCACGCAACAAAGCAAATGACTCAAATTCAACATTAAATGGCCTTTAATCTACTGGCTCCCCATTACGATGTGTGTGTGAGTGAAACTGGTGTGTGTGAGTGAAACTGGTGTGTGCCTGCGTTGTGTCTGACAATGAAAGGTTAAAAGAAAGACCTCCGAGTAAACAACTTGCCTGCTCCACCTCCTATAACCAAAAATAAACAGTTGGGTCGAGAGTTAGCTCACCTCGCTACAACTTCCAAGCTAGCAAGACGTACTAACAGTGCCTACACACACACATATCACATATTCACAGCATCTAGTAAAGACAGGTGTAATGATGACAATAACTAAAACACACACTCAGAAACAT